TTTTTTTGAGACGGTCTCACTCTGTTGCCCAGACTAGAGTACAGTGGTGCGATCAACCTCAAACTCCAGGACTTAAACGGTCTTTTCTCCTCAGCCTCCGCAGTAGCTGGGACTACAGAAGCCCCCCTACCATACCCAGCATTTTTTGTTTTTTGGTACAGATGGCATCTCACATCGTCTTCCCAAAGTGGTCTTGAACTCCTGGCCTCAAGCAGTCCTCCTGTATCTGTCTCCCAAAATACTGAGATTACAGGCATGAGCCACCAAGCCCAGCCAGTTTGTATTTTTATTGTTGAAACAAAACATCGATTAATGAAAATTGTAAAATTTACTTTTCATAACCATTGTAAAGAGTAACAATGTAAAAAAACAAAAAAAACAAAAGAGTGACAAAGTAAGGTATAAGTGTGTCATTTATTTATTTATTATTATTATTATTTGAGATGGAGTCTCACTCTGTCGCCCAGGCTGGAGTACAGTGATGCAATCTTTGCTCACTGCAACCTCTGCCTCCTGGGTTTAAGCAGTTCTCCTGTTTCAGCCTCCTAAATAGCTGGGATTCCAGGTGTGCATCACCATGGCTGGCTAATTTTTGTTTTTAGTAGAGACGGGATTTTACCATGTTGGTCAGGCTGGTTTTGAACTCCTGACCTCGTGATCTTAAAGTGCTACTAGGATTACAGGCCTGAGCCACCATGCCCGGCCACGTGTCATACATTTATATGTATCTGAGGATAAAGGGCATTGGATGGTGTCTGTGAGCCCTTCTGTGACACCTCAGGGCCAGATGTGTTTTGGAATTCAAAGATTCTCAAATTTGAGAAAGATAATACAGTGCATATACAATATATCAAGCACATCTCCAGAGGGATCTGGAGCAACACTAAATAATGAAACATACCAGTTAAAAATTTTTAATTGATGTATAATGTATGTACAGAAAAACACACCACTGGGTATAGCTAAAAGAATGTTTATAAACTGAAGATATATGTTATTAATGTTTCTGCCATAATTGTGAACATTTACATTTAGTGGAATAAATTGAGATTACAAATATGCTCATATCAGGTCAAGCGGTGCTGCGAAATGAGTGACATTGGGTTTTGCTCTCAAAGGAGTTATACAATACCTGGGTTTTGGATTTCTGACTTTGGGATGAGAGCTTGCGGGCCTGTGTTAATACGAGAGACAGTCACGTGAGCAAGGCATTCCAATAGAGCCTGGAAAAGGCATCAGGGCTATGAAAGGATGGGGACTGGATGGCTCTTCAGTCTGGTGTTTGCTCACATATTCCACATCCTTCCTCCTGAGTCCTGCCATTTTGCTCTTTCCCCAGGAGTACACATCCAGATGCCGGCCCAGCTGCCACAGGGGATCCCTCTGGGAGACTGAAAGGACAGGTTCTGGGGCTCGAGTTGAGGCCGACCAGCCCTGACCCTCAGGCCAGGGGAATGGCAGCCCCCTTGGAGCCCCAGGACCAGGCCCCTGGGGAGGGAGAAGGGCTTCTGATTGTGAAAGTGGAAGATTCCTCCTGGGAACAGGAATCTGCCCAGCATGAGGACGGCAGGGATTCCGAAGCCTGCCGCCAGCGCTTCAGGCAGTTCTGCTACGAGGATGCGCATGGGCCTCATGAGGCCTTCAGTCAGCTCTGGGAGCTGTGCTGCCGCTGGCTGCGGCCCGAGCTGCGCACCAAGGAGCAGATCCTGGAGCTGCTGGTGCTGGAGCAGTTCTTGACGGCGCTGCCAGGGGAGATCCAGGGCTTGGTCCGTGAGCAGCACCCAGGAAGTGGCGAGGAGGCTGTCGCCTTGGTGGAGGACCTACAGAAGCAGCCAGTGAAAACCTGGCCGCAGGTGAGGGGCCTTTCCACATCCAGGGGCACCTGGATGGTACCTGAGCGGAAGAGAAGTGGGCACCCTGCTGAGATAAGTCTCCCAGAAGTTGACAGGGTAGGGGAGACACAGAGCCCCTAGGAGTGGGCACAGGAGCACAGCGTGCCATGGGTGCCTTTCTGAAAGACGGAGAGTCCAAAGTAAATGCAATTTATTTTTGCGGCTTTGGAAGGCAGTAGTAGGAATGAAGTGGGAATGCTCCACTTCATTCAGCAGGTTTTAGCTCCATGCAGAACTAAGGAGGTTTCAGCTCCATTCAGGTTCTGCAGATGTTTTATTTGCTTTTTGCTGTAGGCCTGGCTCTGAGGACAAAAGGGTGTGCAAAGGGCCAGCTCCAGAGTGGGGTGAGAAGGTGGAGCTGTCCAGGGCCCCTGCTACCTTGTGGGATGTTGGGTTGTTCACACTGGATGCATCTGGGGAGGTTCTAATGAGTGGCTGGGGGATGGGGTTCTGCCTTTGGCAGGAGGGTCCCCAGCAACCACCTTGCTAAGTGGCTGTGATTCTGGCCTTTCAGGCTGGTTGTTGCCTTGTGACTGATCAGGGAGTTTCCTTGGGCACACAGCATTGCCTGGTATCACATTCTGCTCTGGACTTTCCTGGGGCACATTATTGGTCTACTTCCCACTCCCCAGCATCCTGAGGGTCATGTCCTGTGTCTCCTTCCCAGGAAATAAACTCTGTCTCCCTCGGTCTGGTTTCGGGCTGATGAGCATATTATGGTTCCTGCACAGGATGTGCCCTTGGAGGAGGCGGAACCCAAGGCTGCAGGCCAGGAATCTCAGGCCAAGGGGCCTCCCTCGACAGTAGGGGCACGGAGGCAGCCACCTGTTCCCCAGGAGCAGCACAGCCATGGCGGTGAGTAAGCCTCTGTTCCGTGGGTGGTAGAGTGGCTGGGCACTGGCACCAGCATTGCCCTAAGGGTCACAGGCAGGACAGTTCACTCTGTGAAGCCTAGGGCATGTGTGCATGCACACAGGCCAGGGAGGCCTTAAGGTGTTGGTGTCAGGCCTAGGCTGGCCTTTCTAAGGCTCCATTCTTCTCCTTCAGCCCAGCTTCCTGCTCTTCTTAAAGAGGGGCAGACCAGAGAGCCAATGGATACCTGCTTTGTCTCCGGCGTCCATGTGAGTCACCAGTCCCTTTGGTCTTCTTTAAGGTGCTCAGCTCTGTTGAGTTTGTAAAACAGGACTTGCTGTCCCATCAGGCCTCTTTCATCTGACCCATCCTATGCCCACCAGCGCTCCTGGGAGGCCTGAGCAAGCCTGCCCTGAACTGGGTCTTCTTGCCCCATTTCAGGGACCTGTGGCATCAGGAGACATTCCATTCTATTTCTCCCAGGAAGAATGGGGCACCCTGGACCCTGCTCAGAGGGATCTCTTCTGGGACATAAAGCGGGAAAACTCCCGGAACACGACTCTGGGTAAGCACCTAGGGCCTTTGGGGTCCAGGCTGGCTGCTCCCCATTCTGGGACTTCAGTCTTCTTTCCCATCCTGCCCTTAGCTGGTTCCAGAGCAGGCTCTCCCCAGGTTTCGCCAAGAGCCTGTGTGACTGGTTTCTTGGCTGAGGATCCGTTTTTGTGCCTGTCCACATGCAGCACGAGACGGTGCCAGCGCTGCTCAGCCCTGCGCTAAGCACTCATAAGGGCAGCTTCTTCAATTCTCACAACCGAGTGCATAGAAGTATTGTCCCCATTTTATACATAAGGGACCTGAGACTCAGGTCAGTGGATGCTGAGGGGACACAACTGGGACTTGGATCAGGCATAGTTGTGAGGGCACCTTGAGCTGCCAGGACCAGGGGTGCTGATGGGGAACCCCAGCTGCTCACCAGCCTGGCCTTCTGCTCATCAGAGCTTCACTTACCAGGTCCCTCTTCATGCCAGGCCCCTTCTCAGCACCCTCAGGGATCATCTTGTTCAGTCCGAACTCCTAGCAGGATGGGCTTCGAGCCCTATTCAGGTCTTTTGTGTGTTGAGTTTGGAGAGGTGGAACCTGTGTGGTGATGGGAGTCACACTAGGTAGACCAGCTTGGTTCCTCAGTTTCTGATTGTGACAGTTGGGAACATTTTCAAAATTACTGTAAATCTGTTCAGCTGTGGAGCTTGAGTAGCTGGGGTTCAGAGTGGGACACTGGATCCGAGTGTGGCCTGCAGGGCACAGATGGCCTGGGGGCTGGCCTGTGCAGGCGCCTGCTCAGACTGCTGCTCTGCCACATTTTTTCATCATCCCGGTTTTATAGATGAGGAATCTGAGGCTTCTGCTGTGTGAGTCCAGGGCTGTCTGAGCCTGGAGGCCAGGGAGCTTTCCCCAGCCTGGTTTCTTCCTCACCTCAGCTCTGGCCCCAGAACCTAGTGGCACTGAAGAGGTCGCCTCCTTCCTGTTGCAGGTTTGGGGCTCAAAGGCCAAAGCGAGAGGTCCCGGCTGGAGGAGGTGGTGCCAGCGCTGCCAGGACAGGCGGACCTGGGCCCAGTGGTGGGCGCGCGACGGGGGCGGCCACCCACGCGCCGTCGCCAGTTCCGGGACCTGGCGGCTGAGAAGCCGCACAGCTGCGGGCAGTGCGGGAAGCGCTTCCGCTGGGGCTCGGACCTGGCGCGGCATCAGCGCACGCACACGGGCGAGAAGCCGCACAAGTGCCCCGAGTGCGACAAGAGCTTCCGCAGCTCCTCGGACCTGGTGCGCCACCAGGGCGTGCACACGGGCGAGAAGCCCTTCTCCTGCTCCGAGTGCGGCAAGAGCTTCAGCCGCAGCGCCTATCTGGCCGACCACCAGCGCATCCACACAGGCGAGAAGCCCTTCGGCTGCAGCGACTGCGGCAAGAGCTTCTCACTGCGCTCCTACCTGCTGGACCACCGGCGCGTGCACACTGGCGAGCGGCCCTTCGGCTGCGGAGAGTGCGACAAGAGCTTCAAGCAGCGCGCACACCTCATCGCACACCAGAGCCTGCACGCCAAGATGGCCCAGCCCGTGGGGTGAGCAGCCGGCTTGGCCGGAAACCCCGGGGAGGCCCAGCCGCGGCACATTGTTTCGACCATGGGACTTTCTTCCCCTCTGTGGCCACCTCCCGGGCTGTCCAAGGGACTCCAGGGCACCCTACACGCAGAGCTTGCCTGCCCTGCTGTGCTCTGAGGACCTGCCCAGCACTCAAAGGGAACGGAAGCCCCCTCACCTTGTCTTTCCCCCTTCTGCTCCTAGCATTTCTCTTCCCCTCTAGTCTCCTGAAGCGTCAACACATTCCTGACGGGCAGCAGGGCGGCCAGGACGCAGGTCTAGGTCCCTTCCCAGAAGCCCCCCAGCCTCATTTGACTGTGGCTCTTTGGCCTCCACCCTCTGGGGTGGGTCCATGGGTCAGGCCTCTGCCCTGCCAACCTGTGCCTTTCAGTGGGCATGAAGGACTGGCCTTGGCCCCCCAGGGGGCTGCTGGGCTTTGGGAGGGACAGTCAACCCACACCTGTGGGACCCCAGGTGTTAGTCACAGCCGCAGGGGCTTTTTGGCCCCACCCACTCCCGTTTCCAGGCCGTGACCACTCTGCCCTGTCCTGGCCACATGGACTCCTCCTGCCTTTACCCTCGGCCTACTTGCCCCAGCATGAGCCTCGAGAGCCATCTGCCCACCAGTCTGGTCAGGATAATGGTGGCTCCAGTGACAACCCTGGAGACGAAGAACAGGGCGTCTGGCTGCCGTCCACTCCTCTAGAGGTGCAGCTGCACCGTACTCAGTGCTAGCACTCCATCAGCAGTGGAGCTCCACCCCCTCGGCACTAGCGCCCTGCTTCGTCGGCGCTAACGCCCCCGCTCCATCGGCACTGGTGCCCCGCTCTATCGGCACTGGCAACCCCCTCCATCGGCACTGGCGCCCCCCTCCATCGGCAATAACGCCCCACTCCATCGGCACCGGCGGCCCATTCCATCGGCACTAGCCACCCACACCATCCGCACTGGCGCCCCGCTCCATTGGCACTAGCCCTCCCCCTCTCCATCGGCAATAACGCCCCGCTCCAGCAGCCCTGGCGCCCCGCTCCGTCGGCACTAGCAACCCCTTCCATCGGCACTGGCGCCCTGCTCCACTGGCACTTTGCTGCTGCCCGCCTCCTCCAGCACTGCCTTCCATGGACAGGGACGGACCACAGGCCCTGCAAGGACTCAGCCCCGCAGGCCTCCAAAGGGTGACAGAGGAGTTTTAATAAACGTGGAAACTTCCCTCCAGGCTATTCTGTTCTTTACGTGGTAGCGGGTGGGGATACCAGGAATATAAATCCTTTGGCCTGGCCTTGTGTCCTGGTGGCACATGGTGCTGTGCCGTCACTAGGAGGAGCCACATTCTTGGCTTTCAGGTCAGCTGGGCCCCAATGGGCAGCCATGTCCCCTGGGACTCTTGTCCCCCTGTGTCGGCCAGTGCCTGCCCTGCTCTGGGGGCACTGTCTGTGCCCCAGCAGAACAGGGAGCTGAGCAGGACCACTTCTTCACCAGGCCACTCCTCTTCCACTACCAGGAAAGGAAGAAGGGTCTGCAGATGGCGGCTGCTTGGTCAGTGGTGGGACCCTCATGCTGCACATTGGGGATCTGAACCCAAGGCTGCCCCAGGCTGAGTCGTTTGGAGGAGGGCCTGACAGTGGGCCTGCCCTTCCTCCCCAGCAGCCCCTGACATCCAACTTCTTCCTGCCAAGAGCCCCAGGTAGGGGCCAACCAAGAGCTGGTGGGCACCCAGGCATGACCCCTCCTTCCACCCATGCTGGTCCCTCCCGGTTCACCTGCTGATGGCATCAGGGGCCCTACCTGAGGGGAGGTGGAAGCTGGTGGAGACAAGATGCTCTGGTCCCTTGGCAACAGGTGTGCACGTGCCAGCCCTCTCTGCCCCTAGGCCTTTCTCAGCCAACCTCCCATGCATGCATCATCCTGCGGTTGCTGCCATGGTCCCCATTTCCCATAAGAAGCAAGCGAGGTCTTGCTGCAGATGGGGCTGATTCCAGTTGGCGAATTTTACCTCTGGGGGCCTGGTGCTATGTGCATGAGGGTGGCAGGTGGCCAGGACAGTACAAGGACTTCTTGGTGGTGGTGGCTGGCTCTAAAGGGAGACACTCGGGTGTAAGGAGATCAGATAAGCACGTGGGTCAGGAGCTAAGAATAGGATTGGGCACAGGTTCCTGGCTCAGGTGTGGGCACATCAATGCCAGGCAAGGAAGTCACCAGCAGGAGCCAGAGAATGGAGCCGTGGCTAGGGCAGCAGGGCTAGGCACCAGGGTTCCAGGGAGGGGGCAGAGTCCAGCTTAGCTCATAAGTAGAGCTGATAGCAGTCGTTAGGGGAGAGGGCAAAGGTTAGGACCCAGGGCCAGGAGGCAAGCTCCGTGTTTGGTGCTTGGAGGAAGCCCCGCCTGGCACCATGGCCTTCCTGGTGGCTGGGACCCTGCGGGTGGCTACGCAGATGGCAGATACTCAAGACAGCCTGGGGAGAAAGGTAACAGGAGGCACCGCCTGGCCCAGCCACTGCTGCCTCCCAGCTGAGCCCCAGCCTAGCCCAGCCCAGCTCTGGCCTTGCCTCCCCAGGGAAGGTACAACGTGCAGGGTCCAAGGGCAGCCCTGATGCTCAGCAGCCCTGGGGTGGCAGCCGTTGCAGTAACTGCCCTGAAGGATGTGTTCCAGGCCCTGGGCTTTGAGAGCTTCGAGAGGAGGGAGGTCCCGGTCCAGGTGAGCCTCTGCCTTTCACCTCCACCCTCAGGATTGGCCCCCACCCCTTCCCCACCCTCCCCTGACCCAGAATCTCCTACCCACCCAGAACCCCCCAACTTACTCAGGCTGGTCTCCCTCTTGGCCCTAGGGCTTCCTTGAGGAGCTGGCTTGGTTTCGGGAGCGGCTGGATGCCCACGGGCACCTTGTGGGGTGTGCCCTAGTGGCCTTGGTGGCCCCCAGAGGGCAGCTGTGGCAGCCACAGCAGCTGGTCCGGGAGCTGAGCAGCTGTGGGGTCCTTCAGGGATGCCCCAAAGTCTTTCTGCTGCTCCCGAGTGGCCCTGGTGGTGAGTGGGCTGGGCAGGGACACAGAGGCTGGGCAGGGGAGCCTCAGGCCTCACTCCAGGCCAATACAGTGCTTCTCCACCCAGCCACCCTGGAGCCCGAAGCCTTCCTCGATGGCCTGAGAGAGCTCTGTAGCCACTGTCCTCACTGGTCCCTGGTGCAGCTGCTGACAGAGGTGGGGACGCTGGAGGGTAGGCCCAGGAAAGCGGGCTGGGCCTGCTGTCTCCCCTGGTTCTGTGGTGCCCCCAGAGCCAGTTACAGTTAAATTCATTCACGTGTGTCCTCCCTCCCATTCATTCTACAAACCTTTATTGTCTACACACATGGTGTCAGTACCCCACCCCCAACTAGGAACCCCCGCGACCCACTCAGGATCCCCCGCGACCCACTCAGGATCCCCCAACACTCCAGCCTCCTCCCAACTCCATGCCTTGGCCCAAGCAGTTTCCTGTGCCTGCCACACCCTCCTGCTGTCCCGGCCAGCCCACACCGTCCTCTCCAGGCTTTCAGCGACACCCTTCCTTGCATCCACGCTTGCACTTCAGGCCGCCCCTTTTCACACCAGGCAGTAACTATCTGCCATGTTAGATCGCAGGACCCTAGAGACTGGGACTGGGAATGATTCAAGTCTGGTCTCCAGGGGTGAAGGTCTCACTGGGCAGTTGGGTGGCCCCTGGGCAGCCTTGGAGGTGAGGGGGTGTGGGCCCCAGCTGTCCTCTGTGGATCACCCAGAAAGGCAGTGCGCACCCCGTGAGCCTTCCCAACAGGCCCTGCCCTGCCCTGCTCTAGGGAGCATCCCCACCTCTGTGCACACTGATCCCAGGGCAGGGGTTAATGGTGTGGCCACTGTCCACTTGAGGCCATCCATGCCCAGAGAAGTCCATGACCTTGAGCCTGAACTGGAACCTGGGTCTTGCTTGAGGCCATCCTGCTTGTCTGTCCTTTGCTGGCCTCCTTTCTGTGTTCTGGCAGGTGACCCTGAAGAAACTATAGAAGCCACGAGTCTGGCTGAGTCTTTTCTCTGCCCCTTCCCAGCTCTTCCACAGGGTGGCTGAAGAGTCCACGGGGGGCACCTGCTGCCCTGTTCTTCAGAGCTCCTTGCGGGGGGCACTGTGCCTGGGAGGCGTGGAGCCCTGGAGGCCCGAGGTAAGGGGTACAGGGCAGGGGTCCAATCACATGGCCACAGTTTCTAGTAGGACAGAGGCTCAGGGAGACCCAGGTTCGGGAGGCTAGGAGCTGGAGTCCTCTCAGGCCACTTTGGATGTGTCTTAACCCTCTCTGCAGCCGGCCCCCGGTCCCAGCACTCAGTATGACCTGTCCAAGACCAGGGCTGCCCTCCTCCTGGCTGTGATCCAAGGCCGGCCTGGGGCCCAGCACGATGTGGAGGCGCTGGGGGACCTGTGCCGGGCCCTGGGCTTTGAGACCACTGTGAAGACGGACCCTACAGCCCAGGTGAGGGGACGCCGAGAATACCGCTGGTGCTCTGAAGGAAGACCACCCCTCCCTAGGAACCTGGGGCCTCTCTCCTGAGCCTCTCTCCATCACTGGCAGGAAGTGCACCACAGGTCTAGCCTCTGCCTTCCCTGCTGCCTGCGTCAGGCCATCACGTCCCTGCCTCTGGAAGCCTGGTCTCCAGGGTCCCCGAGGCCGCCCTCGTTGGCTTGTTTTCTGCCCTCCCCACCCGCCCACCTCAAAGCTCAGCTCCAAGTCTTGGTTTCCCTCCCAGCAGCCCACTGCCCTCTCCTCACACCTCTCGACTTCCTGGTACAGCTTCCTCACCAAGGCAGGAGGAGAACTGGCTCTAGGAAGCTAGGCCTATGTCAACTCTTGGAGGAGGGAGTCAGAAAAGGGCTTCTGGCCAGGCACAGCGGCTCATACCTGTAATCCCAACACTTTGGGAGGCCAAGGTGGGCAGATCACTTGAGGTTAGGAGTTTGAGACCAGCCTGACCAACATGGTGAAACTCTGTCTCTACTAAAATGACAAAATCAGCTGGGTATGGTGACAGGTGCCTGTAATCCCAGCTACTTGGGAGGCTGAGGCAGGAGAATCACCTGAACCCAGGATGCAGAGGTTGCAGTGAGCCGAGACTGCACCACTGCACACCAGCCTGGCCAGACTGGGCAGCAAAAGCAAGACTCTGTCTCAAAAAAAAAAAAAAAAGAGGGCCCTCCCTGGGCCTCTGAGTGTGTGAGTGGCAGGTGGTAGGAGGCCAAGTGGGCAGGGGCTGGGAAACCTTCTCAGCCCCGCAGAGGGCAGCTAGGGGCTGGGGAGGTAGTGGCTTTTGCCCAGGCCTCAACATTGCTTCCATCCTAGGCTTTCCAGGAGGAGATAGCCCAGTTCCGGGAGCAGCTAGACACCTGCAGGGGCCCTGTGAGCTGTGCCCTTGTGGCCCTGATGGCCCATGGGGGACCACGGGGTCAGCTGCTGGGGGCTGATGGGCAAGAGGTGCAGCCCGAGGCACTGATGCAGGAGCTGAGCTGCTGTCCAGTGCTGCGGGGGCATCCCAAGATATTCCTGCTGCAGGCCTGCCGTGGGGGTGAGCAGCCTGGCCGCCTCCTGGCCTCATTTCCTCGGCCAGCCTCAGCCCCCAGGACTCACTGTCTACCTCCTCCAGGGAGTCTGGGTTCCTGTCCTTCCTGCCCCCTGTCCTGTCCACTCCTAGAGGTCAAGTCCACGACCTTGAATCCTTAACCCTCAACACTTGTCATTCAGCGCTCTGAACGTCTCCAGTCTGGCAAGCCTGCCCTGGAGCTCTGGGGCTGGGTCCTCGTCTTGACCCCATGTTCACATGAGACCCCTGAGCACCCCCAGGTATCCCCAGAGTGAGACTATCTGCCTCTCCCTGCCCTCTTCAGGAAACAGGGATGCTGGTGTGAGGCCCATAGCTCTCCCCTGGTACCGGCGCTGGCTGCGGACACCTCCATCTGTCCCCTCCCATGCAGATGTCCTGCAGATCTACGCTGAGGCCCAAGGTGGGTTCTGCCTTCCCTGCAGGGCCTGGGCTTGGGCAGGACTGGTGGTGGGGACAGCCCAGAGAGCATCTCCGGGACTCTCAGCTGGGGTATGGCTGCCACCTGCATCCTGTTTGCCAAGACAACAGGAATAAAAAAAATCTTCCTAAACTGCAAGGGCCTTTGGGAAGTGGGAGCTTTTTCCCCTATTGGAGCCTGGCAAGAATCCTGGAATCGGCAAGGTCAAATAGCTTTTCTGAGGTCACAGCTGGTAAGTCGCTGGGCCAAGCTTTGAACTTCTGTCTTTCCTGCCCTGCATTCTTTCCACCTCCCTGGGCTGCCCTTAAGCCACAGATGGTGAGCCCTGGGGGCTGATGGGGTTCCAGGATGTTGATCACTGGAGCTGATTCCTCTTATAGACAGCTCCGGCAGGGGCCCTGCTTCAGGGAGCTCCCACCAGGCAGACATCCTGACGGTCTATGCAGCCGCTGAGGGTAAGGAGATGGGTCATCAGGAAGCCCGTGGTTACACAGGGCCCAGCTTCCTGGCCTAAGATCTGGAGTAGCCTTAGGGGCAGCTAAGGGCTTAGGGTTGGGGCACAGAGATGGCAGCCCAGCTGTGGGCAGGCCATGTTCCCTGCATGGGTTATGACGTGTAGTAACAGCAGTGATGGTGAGCGCTGTGAGGCGCTGCTGTGCCAACAACTGTGTGTGCAGGCTTCCTCAAGGCTGTGAGTTCCACAAGGCCAGGGCAGATCTGCCTGCCCTGAGGCCCTGCTCAGTGCCTGGCACATAGTAGGTGCACAGTAAATAGTAGTGAATCTCTTCATAGGCTCATTCTGCAAATATCTAGCAACAGCTTGTTCAGATGCAAGAAGTCCCTGTTCGCTGCCCTGTTCTCTTGCCTAATCCCCAAGTCCTGCCTGCTTGTACCCCCGCTTCCACCAATAATAGGACCCCTGGGATTGGAAGGCAGAGGATTGGGGCCCTGGTCTGATGCTCTGGCCCTGGTCCCCTGACCTAGGCTATGTGGCCTATCGGGATGAGAAGGGCTCAGACTTTATCCAGACCCTGGTGGAGGTCCTCAGAGCCAACCCCGGGAGAGACCTTCTGGAGGTGCTGACTGAGGTATGTTGGGGGGTTCCAGGGTGACAAGGGGTGAGGGGCTGGATTTGCCCTTCTCACCAGCCCTGGTGTTCTGATTACTTCTGGTAAACTCCATTGGTGAAGGAGGGATCCTCTGCCCTCAACAGTACAAAATAACCAAACCCAGGATGCCCGACGCTGCATAGATGCCATCGACCGTAGTTCATAGTCCCACGTACCACAGTAGGGGGAGGAGGATGCTTCACGCCCTGTGGGACCACCTGGGCTTGTGCTCAGAGCAGGGTGTACCTGCAGGGCCTAAGGGAAGCTGGTTTTGTAGTGGCAAAAGAGTGAGACGTCCCTGGTTCCCACAGGCAGATGTTGTTGGTTGGTTTGAATATTTCCAAGGCCTGACAGAGGGCTGAAGTCCATTAGGGTGAGGACTAGGTGGGGTACAGCTGGTCTGGCTGAGAGGGGAACTAGGGTGTGGGAGCCTGTCCTGATGGGTGGGGACATGTCTGGCCAGAGTGGAGGAATTCACTGTTAGGCCGTTGGAGCCCTGCGAGCCTCAAAGATGTCCAGGCAGCCCTTGAAATTTTAGAGCTTACAACGCACCAAGCCAGGGGCCCTCCCTTGGGGCAGGCTAAGCCCGGAAGGGCTGGAGCCCCAGGCACAGGCTGGTTGTGGTCCTCAGGTCAACAGGCGGGTGTGTGAGCAGGATGTGCTGGGCCCCGACTGCGATGAACCCCGAAAGGCCTGCCTGGAGATCTGCAGCTCGCTACGGCGCCGGCTCTGCCTCCAGGCCTGACAGCGCCGCGGCCACCCGGGGGCTGCAGAGACCACCACTGCTGCCTCCCTCCGCCACCCACCCCGCGGTTTCCTCATCTGAGAGCGAGGCGTGGCAGTGTGGGGGTGGGCGCTCAATAAACGTCTGCCGTGAACAGTTCCTGTTCTCAAGGAAGTGTGAAATAAGTGAGATAATGTGTGTAATGCGCCTTCAGGGCATATGGACGCAATTGTGTCCCTGGGAACCGAGCTGGGGCCAGTGCCCAGGTTCTGGGACTTAGGAACCCAACATGGGCTGGGCTGGGCTGGGCTGGGCTGGCGGTTTGGTTACGGTGGCAACCGAGGGGAGAGGAGTCCGGGGAAAAGGCCGCATATCCTTCTCTCAGCCATGTCCCTGTACACACGCGCCCCACCTCCACCCCGCGCTGGGCGACGGAAACGCAGGAGACACGGCCTCCGCTTTCCAGGCGGCCAGAATAAAGTCTGGGGCCAAAAGCCTCTGAAACACACCTTTGCAGATTCACCGGTGATGGAGCAAGCACAGGGCTGGGGAAGCAGCTTGCAGCCCTTGACCCAAAGCGGCAGGAGGCACATGAGGGAAAGGGCTCCCAAACGGCGTCTCGGAGGGGCCTGTTGCTGGGCGGGTGGGATCTGGCAGGCTCGCCAGTGCTAGAGCTCGCAGCCCAGGACCGCGGCGGCCGTTTCCGCCGAGCAGCCTCAGCGACCGGACGCAGTAGCGCAGCTCGTGGCCCCGCCCACCGGGAGCTCGAGGGGCGGGGCCTCCCTCGCTCTAAGCATGCGCGCTGAAGCGCACAACATAGGCGCTGGAAAAGCTTTATGAGAAAAGCTGGACGACTGTCACCCGCGGGGCCGCGTGGCCTAATGGATAAGGCGTCTGATTCCGGATCAGAAGATTGAGGGTTCGAGTCCCTTCGTGGTCGCTGTTAGATTACCTTTTTCCTCTCGCCGCATGAAACAAATTTCTTCTCCTTGCACGCCACCCTGGACACTCGAACTAAGTCACCCAGCTGAATCCTCGGATGTCGCCCTCACTTGCAATCGTGCAAATCAGGACCCAGGGCTGGAATTGCAGCAAGGGCGACCCCAAGACCGCTGGCGGGTCCCTGGCGGACTGCGGAGCTTGAAGCCAGAGACCGCGAGTACTGGTTACCACTAGGGAATTGACTTCACAAATTTAGGTTCAGGCGATGGAAACTGTGACAGATGCGGGGTTGGGATTGCTTGCGGTGAGGAGTTGCCCCAAAGGGGTCAAAGAGCATGTGTAGTTTTTGTTTTTTGTTTTTGTTTTGAGGCGGAATTTTGCTCTTGTTGCCCAGGCTGGAGTGCAATGGCGCGATCTCGGCTCACCGCAAGCTCTGGCTCCCGGGTTTAAGCGATTCTCCTGCCTCAGCCTCCCGAGCAGCTGGGTTACAGGCATGCACCACCACGACCGGCTAATTTTGTATTTTTAGTAGCGATAGGGTTTCTCCATGCTGGTCAGGCTGTTCCTGAACTCCCGACCTCAGGTAATCTGCCTGCCTCGGCCTCCCAAAGTGCTGGGATTACAGGCATGAACCACCGTGCCCGGCGACAAGTGTAGCTTAATTGATTATTGCCGTAATTATCTCATGAACGATGGAGGACGAAGGCAGAATTGAAGACAAAAACAACAGGTTCTATTTGAAAGAAGGGGTCAGGGGCGCTTTGCCTCTAGTGAGCAAACGCCCTGAGCTTTTACAGCCCTTCGTATTTATGAAGTAAAGAGAATAGGGAGGAGGGGGTGATTGTCTTACAGCTACTTGATTTATCACAGGTATTGCTTTCCTTGTTCAACAGGTTCCAGATGTTCAGGTAGAAAACCTCAGGGAGCACAGGACCAGGGACGTGACTGCCCTCAAATTTCCTTCTGGTGACAGACGCAGTTTGTCAGTTTGCAGACATCCTGCTTTCTTGAGGACAATTTGGGTTTGTTCATATAGCCTCCAGAGGTATACTGAGTTGGTCACGCCCCACATTATATCTGGGGTCTCCAGCAGATTACTGTGGTGAAAAACTTTGTAACCTCTATCAACTGATCATAGGATAACAAAGTAAAAAAGAAAAAAATATATAAATAGTGGTGGTGATTGCACAATACTGTGAATGTGATTAATGCCACTAAATGGCACACTAGAAAATGGTCAAAATGGCAAACATTTTTGTATATATTTATATGTAAAACTGTGCATATATATGTATGTGCATGTATATATACACATATATATATACGTAGGTGTATACATATATACATACACGTTTATACACACACACACACACACACACGTATATTATATACACCATTTTAAAATACAAAAAAAGAACGCCTAGGCCGGTCGCGGTGGCTCACGCTTAATTCCAGCACTTTGAGAGGCTGAGGGCGGGTGGATCTGAGGTCAGGAGTTCAAGGCAAGCCTGGCCAATATGGTGAAACCTAGTCTCTACTAAAAATACAAAAAAATAGCGGGCCTGGTGGCAGACACCTGTAGTCCCAGCTACTCCGGAAGCTGAGGTAGGAGAATCACTTGAACTCGGGAGGCGGAGGTTGCAGTGAGCGGAGATCGCGCCACTGCACTCCAGCCTGGGCAACAAAGCGAGACTCCGTCTCAAAACAAAGCAAAAAACACCTATTAGTTTATTTAGATTTCTTGCAATGAGAGAGTGCCTTTAAAATGACTACTGTAAAAGTGTATTTAACATTTTCTTTTCCTTTCCTTTTCTTTTTTTTTTGAGACAGAGTCTTGCTCTGTTGCCAGTTCCAGTCTTTAAAATTTTCAATACAGGCGGAGTGCGGTGGCTCATGCCTGTAATCCGAGCACTTTGGGAGACCGAGGCGGGCGAATCACGAGGTCAGAAGATCGAGACCATCCTGGCCAACATGGTGAAAGCCCGTCTCTACCAAAATACAAAAAATTAGCTGGGCCTGGTGGCGCGCGCCTGTAATTCCAGCTACTCGGCAGGCTGAGGTAGGGGAATCGCTTGAACCCGGGAGGCGGAGGTCGCAGTGAGCCGCCATTGCACTCCCGCCTGGCCAACACAGCGAAACTCCGTCTCAAAATAAAATAAAATAAAATACATATAAAATTTTCAATACAAAGGATATGTCCAGGATTAACATTACACGGGGTAAAAAATGTCTACCAAAAATAAAAAAAATTGTCTACCAGCGGAACCCGAGTTTAGTCTGGGTGCCAAGCAGCGCCGTGTGGGGTGTCCTTCCACGGGGTGAAGGCTGCGAAAAGTCACAGCTGCGGGCATGTCCTCCGATCGGCGGACGCTGGTGACTTGGGTCATGCAGGGTGTCACTTTCTCCTTTAACTTTTTTTTGATGCTCCAGTGGTTTAGGAAGTCTCGAACTCCTGGCCTCGGGCGTTTACTAGGTATTGAGCAAAAGCGTTTACTAGGTATTATGTGTGTGTACTTAATTAAAATACAGATTTTTTTAAAAAGGAAAACAACACACATGTTGGGGCAGGAAAGTAAACACGCAACGTGGCGATCCTGAGATTAACATCGAGCCAGCTGGGGATGTAGAGGGCGGATTTTGGAGAGTCATTATTAAGAGGCCTCCGACCACACAGCGGCACCCATTGTCTAAGAGACAAAGCAGAGAGGAGGACGAAGACCAACACTTCCCCAAGCGGCGGGCTCGGGATGAGGAGTCAGTTGCTGAGCAGGCATCGCGTGCCCCTTCCCATACGCTCCATCGCAAAAGCGTCTTTCGCTACTAATTACCCCTGGACTTGGGTTCTCTCCTGAAGGGAGACTGGGGCTCCCCCAGGGACTTGATCCAGGCACCTCTCACCACCTAAGCAAAGATCATACTCCTAGACCAAAGGGCCGAGCCAAAAGCTGACTTTGGTGTCTTTCAGCTCCCTCTGCACGTGCGCGGTCTCTCCGGGGTCCTGAGAATGTTCAGGAGCAGACAAAATCTGAACCGGAGCTTGGATTCCCGTGGCGAGGCGGCGGAGAGCCAGGATGGGGCTGATAAGCTATGCGGGAACCACGGCGGGGTGATGGAGACTGGTCTAAGACAAGCACAGGCCTGACATTGTCTGCCCCGGTGGCCTAATGGATAAGGCATTGGCCTCCTAAGCCAGGGATTGTGGGTTCGAGTCCCACCCGGGGTAATAGGGGCTGAATTTTGGGTTCTTTACCGGGGAGAAGGAGAAAAAGGAAGTTGTTATTGCCCGGTGGAGGTGCGGAGCTGTAGCAGGGTTCCCCGACAAGCTCTGCATTAGAAATCTTGTGTTTGGTTTCAAATAAGAGGGGGCGTATTTTCAGATTGCAGAAAAAAGTAGTTGAAACTTTAACAGGGTTTTAAGAATCATCCAATTTGATAAAGAGGAATGATTGTTTTTCAGGTTTATTAATTCCATTATCGTTATGTATATTCTTAAAATCCTTATTTTCTTATAAACACAATTATTTATGAATTAAATTACAGGGATAACTGGTTTGTTTTAAAATAAGCTGGATGGAAGTATAGATGTAACTACTTATCCATGAGTAGATAATGGTATGATGGGGGACATAAGGAGACATTGTACTATTTTCTCTGTTTTAATACATGTTTAAAATAGTCCATAGTATTCTTTTTTTTTTTTTTTCCTTTTCTTTTTATTGAGAGGGTGTTTTGCTCTTGTTGCCCAGGCTGGAGTACAGTGGCATGATCTTGGCTCACCGCAACCTCCACCTCCTGGGTTCAATCGATTCTCCTGCTTCAGCCTCCCGAGTAGCTGGGATTACAGGTATGTGCCACCACACCCAGCTAATTTTGTATTTTTAGTAGAGACAGGGTTTCACTATGTTGGCCAGGCTGGTCTTGAACTCCTGACCTCAGGTGATCTGCCTGCCTCAGCTTCCCAAAGTGCTGGGATTACAGGTGTGAGCCACCATGCCCGGCTAGTATTCTTTTTTTTTAATTCATGAAATATATGACGCCATCTTCAAGGTAAAAATTTCCCAAACTACAAGACATGGTGTAAAGTAAAATCAGAGGCCACCATGATGGGAATCACCACTAGAATTTGGTCATGTATTTGTATAAAAACATAGTTGGATGTTGCCTTTAAAACCCATGATTGGGACTCTTGTTTTTCCAGCTCTGACCTGGCTTCTCCA